GGGAGCCCGGGGGTGAGAGAAGTGCTCTAGTAACACCGCTGAGGAACTTACCGTTGGCGAAGGGCGCTCCGGGACCGGAGACGCTTTGGAGCCCTGTTGGATCTCATGCCTGTGTCTAAAAGCGAAGTCTTAGCAATGCTAAGCGCTACTGTCTCTACTCGGTTTCCTACTTTTCCCCTGTTCTCTTGGAGCAATTAAGAAAAACGCCAGGGTAATTACTTCCAGCTTGTTCTTCGCCTTCTTACCGGCGTCGGTGGGGTTTGGGATGGAAGATGTAAATCCCTTCGGTAAGGAGACAAGAGATGATGGCAGCAGCGAGCAGTAGCAGCTTTCTCCTTGCTGCTGGGGCATGAGCATACCAGCTAGGTGCTCCCGGCACTGTGTAGCTTGAGGCCATGCAGTGTGACTACTTTCAAGTGACTGAGAAAGTACTTGCTCTAAAACTATTGAGCGTTTGCATGTCTTTACAGCGCATTAGCAACTGGTAGAAGTGTGGTGTTAAAGGTAATGGAGAATGGCCTCTTGCTGTTTTAATTTGCTTTTATACTATTTCTGTGTGTTGCTGTTTTTATTATAATTAACAAGCACGCTAGTAACCAGCTTATCTAAGTCTGTGCAATGTAATAAAACTTGCACCAAAGGCTGTTAATTTGGAAAATCTTGTATCTTCTGTCCTGTAAAGTGAGCAACCTTAGCACTGTGTAGACCTCTGACAAAAGCTAATGAATATTTTGTAGTTTCCCATAATATTTGTTTGATTTTTGATTGTTTCAAATTGCATGTTCTTCTATTCAAGAGCAATACTGGTTTACTGCACCAGGCTAAAGCTTCAGTATGTTCATTCAGGTACACTGTGAGTTGTCCCTGCAGTAGTTATGAGATTTTTTTAACCAAAAAAAGTCATCTATCGTATAGGTACAAATAGGGATATGCATGTGTGATGTGTCTTGTGTCTTGTCTTAGTTTTAGGCATTACAGTTACAGTAGTGTCTAAAGTAGTTTAGCAAGTCATATTATTTCACTGCCTTTTTTTTTTTTTAAATTAAATTTGCTATGTCATGACTTTTCCTGAGACAACCTTTCGAATCTTATGCCCAAGGGCAAGCTTCACATTGCTTACTTCAGGAAGGAATTGCAATAGCTGGTCATGTAATTATCTCAGGATTTTAAGATCTTTCCAGGCTATTTTTATTAGAAAGCTACTAAAATGTGGCAGTACTTTCAAATACGTGTTTCAGATATTTGCCTTGACCAGTGAATGCAAGTAGTTAAATAAATTGGCACAAATTGAAATAGAATGATAGAAGGGAATGTCCACTTCTAATTGCATGTTAATTTCATAATGTAGTATAAAATGGGTTCATAACACTTTATTAACTTGTTTAGATGCACCCATCTTCTCTTAAACTTTATTCTTTTGAGTAAGTGATCCTTCTTATGAAATTGTTTTGTTTCTTTTCATGCTAAGTGCACAAGGCACATGTACTCAATTTACAGGAATTCAGAAAACACTAGGCAGGGCCTTACCATCTGTGGGTAGTTCATGCTCATGCTGCTCAGTGTTTGTAGCTTAAAAAACTAAAACTACACTTCTTGCCTACATTTTCTGTGGACTAATGTTTTCTAAATGATTTTAAGGCTAAGTAGTGCATTGAGTATGATTCAGCAGCTGTTTGTGTTGTAAAAGGGCCTTGTTTTTTAACATGTTGTTCTTTTATTTGCTTGTATACATTGTAATTATTGCAGAAGAGTTGTCACTGTACTTGCTTAGAATACCTAACTAATTATCTCTTTTTGTTTTAAACTGTGGTGATTTAGCTTTGCCTGTTTGAGTTAGTATCAATACTGGACTGTGAACATTTTTCGGATGGGCTGTTAGGATGCTGTTGGGTGTCTTCCCAGGCTTTGTACAATGACTGTTTTCTCTCAACTTGTGCAGTCTAGCTTCCAGAAACTTGTCTGCCACTTGAGTTGGAGCAAACATTAATAATGGTAAAGTCTTTCATAGTTTCTAGGGCTATTCCAGGTCTCTTGCATAAAGCACATCTGATGCTTGTCTGCCTTATCATGCAGTTAAAATGCTGATAGAAGAATTTAATTAGCTTTCAGTTTATTTAAATGCAGCCTTGTCAAAGTGGTATTCCAATATTTGACTTTCCTTTTTTTACTGGACTTCCTAAGGTATCTAATGATTAAATTTATTGTTTCAAATTTTCTCTAACCTGTCACACTTCTTTGGTCACATCATCATCTCCTTGATCATGAGTATATCTACTTATGTCATTAACCTTAGGTCAGTAAAATAGCTAGAAAGAAAGGAGATCTGCTGCTATTCAGGGTGACCCATCAGTGAAGAGAAGCTGGCCGGTATGTCTGTAGCAGAGTGTATGAGAGTTAATGTGTAGTCATAAGAGCAAGGCTTATGACTTACAGAGAAGCGTGATGCATGTAGTTACATTCTGTCTTGTGTACTACACATGTTGATAGTACTTGCAGATTGTGGTAAGCTACACTAATGTTTCTGTGAGTACCAAGGAAGTAGGTAGTGAGGTAGAGATTAAGCAATCCAATTTAGTGTTTCCCACCGTGGTTACAATTTAGGTACTGAGCTAGCATCTTTCTGGTCACAGAACTTTTTGATTCTCAGCTGGGCTATGTACTGCCAGTTCCCTTCTTGCATGGCTAGATGTGTAAAGGAACAAATCAAGGATGGCTTTTGTGGATGAAAAAATAACCATCAATATGGAATGAACTCATAGTACTAAAATAGGAGGAGTAAGGCTCCAGGGGCTTTAAAATTGTTTGGAAACTGGGCTCTACTGGTTCTTTTGCTTATTAAATAGATGAAGGCTATTCCTAAGGTTTGTTTATTTCAAAATGGTAACAACTGTTGGAGTGCAGTATTCTCTGTTCTTGCTCCTCTGCAGACATTCAATGTGTTTAACAATATGTGCTTGCAGTTTTGCTTGAAATCCTTTAGTTTGGCTGATTTGCAATGACTGTGACGGAAAGCTTTAGCTAATTGTTTTGTTTTCTTGTATCTCGTTCATGAAAGGCCGTTCTCAATCTGTTTTTCTCATGACAGCTAGTCATTTAAGGTCCTGTAGTGGAGACTTTGTGTTCTCTTAATAGATATTTCTTATGGCTTTGGAAGTGTTTATTTAGGTACATAGTTGAAATACCTTAAACTTGGTAAGAGTTGGGGTGATTTGTTACCATGCAAGTATAAAAATCTATGAAAAGCATTCATGTAACTGCTTATTTAGTTGCTTAAAAAAGTTAAACTATTTCAGTTCTTCTAATATCTAAAAACATTGACTTTGTACAAAAGTGTGCTTTTTTTTTTTTTTTTTTTCTTCTCCTGGCCAGGCAAACAGTACAGTTGGTGCTGAAATGGAATCAAAGATGATAGTGACAGAACCTTCCTTTCTCATTTATGTAGTGTATGAAGATGGAATTTACAATTAAACACATATGGAATGGTTTACCTGTGAGCCATGAGCCAGCAACAACTGGGCTGAAGTCAGACAATGTGGGACTGCTAATGGGAATTAGTGCTCCCTTCTTTAATGACCCTCCAGCACTACTTGGAGAGCTGGGGAAACCTTTCAGTAGACTGGGACTACGAGGGTAAGCGTAACTGTTCTGCAGTTATATCTGATTTGTGCAGACACTGATATTCCTCTGTAGTTAATATGCCTGGCCTTTATTTAAGAGTCTGCAATGGCTATTTTTTTCACTGATCTAATGGTTGTGAGTGTATGACATCTAATTCAGTTTGTTCGGTCACAGTACTGCTTGTACTGAAATGTAAAGTAGAAATTTACTATTCTATTCTATCCAGAGCAGTCCAGGAAAGAGCTTAGTTGCAATCAGTGCCTTATCCTTAAACTCCTTAAGTAACTGTGTCATGCTATATTCAGCTGAAAACTACCCCAAACTGTACCAAGAGCAATGCTCTTTTTCTAGGTGATGAAATGATTTTCATCACTAGCACTGCTGACCCTGTGGTGAATGGCTGTTTTATAGTAGTGCAACAATACAAATGACTGGGAAAAGAAGCAAATACGATTTCAGTCACTCCATGGCTGGGAAGAAATGGAGTCCAATGAGCTGGACTGATTTCAGGAATGATGAGGCTAGCTCTCCCTAGTCAAGGAAGACAGCCTAGTCAAGTGCCTAGTGTAGGCAATCAAAGTTAGTTTCTGAGTTACTGATATAACTTGTAGAATACAGAGGCTTAACATGTTTGAATATCAAAATAATTTTGTGGAGTGTATGTATGTCCTGGGTTCAGCTACAGCAGTCATTTTTTTTCTCCTCCTTAGTAGCTGGTGCAGTGCTGTGGTTTTGACTTTCAGTCTGGGAACAACACTGATAACACCGATGTTTTTAGTTGTTGCTCAGTAATGTTTTCTCTGACCAAGGACTTTCTCAGTCTCATGCTCTGCCAGGGCGGAGGGGAAGCCAGGAGGAAGCAGAGACAGGACACCTGAGCCAAACTGGCCAAAGGGGTATTCCATACCACAGCACGTCATGCCCAGTATATAAACTGGGGGGAGTTACCTGGAAGGCCCAGATCGCTGCTTGGGTCAGGCTGTGTATTGGTCGGCGGGGGGGGAGCAATTGTATCCTCTCCCCTTGTTATTTCCTTTATCATCATTATTATTGGTATCAGTAGTGGTTTGTATTATACCTTAGTTACTTGACTGCTCTTACCTCAACCCGTGGGAATTACATTCTTTTGAATTCTCCCCGGGAGCAAGGGGAAGAAGAAGAGGGGGAGTGAGTGAGCGGCTGCGTGGTTCTGAGTTACCAGCTGTGCTTAAACCATGGCAGTGTATACATGAATGCATTTGCAGTTGGTAAGTAGAAGGGAAATCCTAAAGATGGGTTCTGCTTTTGCTTTAAGAAGTGGAGAATCTATGTCTATTTTAATTGGTATTCCACAGTCTTACTGAGGACTGGGAGAGTGTGAAACAAATAGATAACAGCTTATAAAATATAATTCAAGACTGTACCCAGGTGGAATGGGGAATATTCTTATAGTAATGCTGTATTCTTTGTCACTTCCTGTCAGTATTGTCACTTTCACCTGCTTTGAATAATGCAAGAATTTGTTTCTAGTGGTTCTCTACTTCCTAATTATTGAACTATTCTGATTAAAGGCCTATTAAAACAGTGGTAGCACCTCTCTGGTATGATTATACTAAACAGACTTATGTAAAAAAAAAAATCATAATTCTAACTAAAGCTTTTTAATAATGTCATTGCTGTTGAGAAACACCATTATAATTCTACTTTGTGTTCCTGAAAGGTGGTTCAACAATCATATGTGGCTTTCAGGCCATATGATTGACTGGGATCACTTTCTCTTGGTCAGCTTTATTCACAGCAAGCATACTGGATGAAATAGCTGTGTGGTGATGCTTTTCTTACTTTGTAGAGAGCTAACTTTAGTTAGTAGATAGGCCATATTTTTCTGCAGCATCAAGATGAGTGTTTTGAAAGTTGGAAGTGGTAAATAGATTACTACAATGCTTTTTAAAGCTCCTTATGATAAGCATTGGAAATAAAAGCTCTTGAAGTTAGTTATGGCTCAGCATTTCAAATAGTTAGGAAGCTGTCAGTAGCATGTCCGCAGCTAGTCAAAGTCTGGCACGGTCCAGGCCAAAAATCATGAAACTAGAGTTGTCTTAGGGGGATATGAAAGTCTTATGGTATTATAAAATAGTTACTATAAAATACTGATAGTCTATTTTGGTGGGTTTGTTTTTAGTTGTAGAAGCAGTTTTCCTGAATGACAGAACTGGGCAGTATTTAGAAGTTGAGGTTTGTCTTCAAGTACAGCACTCTGGAAGTTACAAATGTTATTTGCATTTTGAGTTCTAATGCTTGTAAGGTATGTGTATGAGGAAGACTACAAATTGTTCCTATATGGGGAGTGTACATATTTGTTGCAGAACAGTGCACTAATATTTGTGTAACTGGCATAATTTTAAGAAAATGGTGCTCTGATTTTTTTGACAGGCATGGACAACGCTTGGTGCTTTTTGGCAGAAGAGGAGTATGGAAAGTAAGTGGTCAAGTACATTCTTAATGTACAGAAAACCTAGTTATTTTTAAGTACCTGTTGCCTGATTAGAAGATGTCATTATCTCTGTTTATTTTTTCTGTCTTTAACAGGAAGAACTTCCTTTAGAGTTTGAGGTGACCAGAATGAAAACCAAGAGAGGGTAAAGCTCATCTTCCTTGGGATTATTTTCCATCATTCATTAACAAGTTCAATGCATTTGCAATTCATGGATCAGGAGAAGAAAGAAAATATGAAGTGCTTTATCCTGTACCTCAACATGAACTACAGGAAGGACAGAAACCAGATTTGTAAGCATAAAATTAGCTTTTCTGTAATATAGTTGCACTGTTTCTGGAATACTTAAAGAAAGCTAATCTGGCTTTCTTTGAGCGCTGCTAGTATTTTGATTATATTGCTTTTCCACAGATCCATTGGCACTGTGCTTTCTGTAAAGCACTGTGGCAGATAGCTGTAATTAGTGCTTGATTTCCGTGTTATCATCCCTTAGGTAAATAGAAAATGATCTGCTTTTTCCTTTCCTCCAGCGCCTCCTGAATTGCCATTTAGTGTTCCTTTTACCAGATACATTTCCAGAACACCTCTTTTGCTTCTCCCCTAGTGTTCCAAACAACCTAACCTCTACAGATGGCTCCATATTAGAGAAAAATTTGAAAAGGCAGACTAAACTGAAAAGTATAATGAAAGGATACCCAGTATTGATAGGAAAAATTAGGATTTTTTTTTTTAAATTGTGCTTTAGGCCTGTTTATTTTCTTTGACTGTAAGGCTGAGATGATTTGATTAAAAACTGCTACTTCTGGGCATTTTGTATAAATGAACTTGCTTTAGAGGATACATTATAGTTCTTACGCAAACTTGTTACTAAACATACATTGGCAGCCAGGTAAGTAAATTTTAGATTAATTGCCCTTTTTGTGTTTATTTAAGAAAAACTTTGCCTCTGCAACTGTTTATTTAAAAAAATTGTAACCTGTTGCTAATAAAATAAATACCCTTTCTTAGTGTTTCATAAGAAATAGATACTATTTATTTTTCTCTGGTAAACTGGCTGTAATATTTTTCAGGAAGGAATTCTTTCTTTCAAAAAAACCCTTGACTTTTCAGACATTGATAGAAGTTGCAATTATGTGAAGAGATTGCTCCTTGCTACTTTCATTGCTCTTAGTTTATCTTTACTCTTAGAAATCTCTTCCCAGTAAGAAAATTCCATTTACCTTTTAAAATGATGAGTTTAGTCTCAGAGGTTCTGTCTACTATTAATTAGCAATTGGCTTCAGTGTCTTCATTCTATTGTTTCTGTGTGGTAGCTTAAAGGAGAAATTCTTAGCAAGAAATGATTCATAAGAGAAAATAAAAGTTTTAGTCTTAGAGAAAAAAATGTTTGCTAGCTTCGTTACCCAATCTCCGCCTTTTTCTGTAAGGAAAGAATATCCCTGTGATACAACTTTTCAAATGGTCAGGAGTTGCAGGTTTTTATTCTATTGGAGTGTGGGTAAGTTGTAAAGCGGGATATCACTGTGTTCGCTCTGACTGCAGTTCCAGGCAAGATAAGCTGAGGGAGTTTAGAAGGTGAGCACTTTAACTTCGCTTTATGCTGTGTGTTGCTTGTTCGTAGCTGAGAATTTTGCCCTGTGTTTTTCCAGGACAAGATTTTCAGAAACATGGTAGTGTTTTATTTATACACTTACGTTTTGGAAAATGAACACATGGAATGCTGGTTATGTTCCTATCCAGGAAAACTTGAAAATAGACATGAGTTAGGCTTGCTGAGGATACTGTCTTTTATTAAGACACACTACAAGAATTACAACTTTTTTATTTCACTTTTCTTTGCAGTCATTGCCTGGAATCTTTTGAAGATTTGAACCTGAAAGGAATAGTGGGAGAAGATTGAAAGCAGCCTGAATCAGATATTTGGAAATCTCTCAGTTAAATGGATTGAGGCATAAATTTTTATAGCATTAAGGTTGGATGAAGCTGTATGGAAGCAACTTCTTTATTCTGAGCAGAGTTTGTAAATACCAGATTAGTAAGGTTTTCCTTGACATCAAAATCATGGATCAGTCTTAAAATCAACTGTAAAGTATCTGAATGTACATAGTATGTAACAGGTGTGTTCCAGTTCATCTAGGTATGGAGTTTTTCATATGTGCAAGAGGTGAATCTGCTCCTACCAAGGATGTGGAAAAAGTGTGCTAAAATTACAGCTGTGGTTTTGTGAGAGCTCTGTCCTGAGAAGGCCAGTATCTGGCTTGGAATCCTTTGGTTTCCTGGAGTTACTCCGTTTCTACTGTATTTTCTTGTTTGTTGTTCTGTTCCACGAGTCTCGCGTGCCTAAATATTTTTTTTTTTTTTGATTGCAATCAGGAGAAAGAATGCCTGTTCTGGGAATAGAAAAGAATATTGCTATTTGTGGCCCGGTACTCGCATTGCAAAGTGCTGTGGAGGTATTACACTACCCTCTCCTATTCTTTCCTATACAAGTTTTGCCTTGTGTGGTGTTGAAGGGGAACTTAATCTGTGTTAGTTTACTAGCAGACTTCTCTGCTTCAAATTCAGTGTGGAATTTCTAGCAATATTTAGGTACAGACAGTAGATCTACAAAAGATTTTATGTATTCCAGGAAAAGTTTTGGGGACAAGTAATGTTTAGTAAAACCTTTTGATGTACCTAGAAAAGCTCATTTGTTCCAAGACCTTGTCACATCACCTTAAAGATTCAGCTCAGACATAGGAGGATTTTGTATGCATGCCAACTGGAAATACTCTAATTTTAGGTGCTTACATTTTCTACATACAGGCATGAATATTTTTAACTGTAAATACTGTAAAATGGCAATGTCTAATTGTAAATTCTCATAGTTTACAAGTGATATGTTCCTTTTTTGTCCAGCATAGTAAATAATCCTTGACTGTGGCTGCTAACTTGATCCTATAAATTAACATAGGAAATGGGAATCTTGCCCACTAACCAGATGTTACATCCAAAAAATAGGTGACTTTAGAATCTAACTTCTTTGTTTTATTTCAGAATGAGGATTCGGACCAAGACATGGTCCTCAGTCCCTTACTAGAAAGAGGACTTCCTGCATCTTTTTGAAATGTCATCATTGCAGGCTAAAAGGTCATGTTCTCTAGTTTTATGAGAAGGTTTGTTTTGGGACTCTGGGAGAATACAGCTCAGTTATAACTGAGGGAGTATTTTTCAGAAATTACACCCTGCGGATGTAGTGTTGGGTCTCATTCTTTTGTGTTGCAATTTCTTCTGAACAATTTAAAATCCTACAAGTTCCTAGAAGGGACTGGTGTTCTCGTAGTCTGACATCCCACTCAAAGCAGGGTTATTGTTGAAGCTAGATGACATCACTCAGGGCCTTGTTGAGTTTTGCATAATTCCAAAAATGGAGCTTCAGATGCTCTGGGTAGCCTGTTTCAATACTTACACTGCTATGAAAACTTGCCTGATAACCATTTCCCATGCTGCAACATTTGTCTGTTGCCATTTGTCCTTTCTGTCTGTATCTCCAAGATGACTGACTTTTTCTCCATAATTGCTGATCAGGTAAGTGAAGATAACTTAGCTGCCTATGGATTTCTTTAAATGTTGTCTCATAAGTGGTTCTAAAAATCCTCTGTGTAGCTTTAGACTTCAGAACACCTGTGAAATTCTGCACAAGACTGCACTCTCCAAGTAATATTACTAAAAGGATTCTCTGTGCTCTTATGAGCTATAGTAATAGCTATAGTCATGTTTCTGTGCCATCTCTAAATTTAACTCTACCTGTACATTTTGTCTGAGAAGAAGAGATGATGGGAATATACTGCCTTCATGAAGAACATCTCTGTGGTTAATATCTGAGAGAGCATGTTACTTCAGAATTCTTGTTTGGCTTTAGATTTCTTATTTGTAGTTTCAGTTTTATAGAGCTATTCTTTCAAATTTAAGGATATTGGGCTTTTTTGGATGCAGACTTTGTCACGACAGTGCGTTCATACATCCAATTGTTTTTGCTCTCTTAATTAGACACTATACATTTCTTGATATAAAGTGCCATCTGTTGAAAATTGTAAGTATTGTACATTCAACTGTTTGGCTTCTTTTCTACCTTCTATCTGCATACAATCTTCTAAAGGCTGCTATCAGTCTGAAATACTGAATAATCCAAAAATACTGATTAAAAACATCTTCTAGACACTGACATCTCAAAGCTGCTTTCAAAATTCTGGTTAAAAGCAAAAAAAAAAAAATTGCCAAACTTTTAGTCTTTTTCAACAGTTTGTTAAAAAAAAAGTGTATGCAAAGGTCCAAAATGAGTTTATGCTTTTTTTCGCAAAGGTGTTTTTCACATGATGAATGATGTTTTCTATGTAAAGGACAATAAATCAAATTATTTATTCAGAGCCTTGATCTCATATTCATTCGCGCTTCAAACTGACTACTTCAGATTTGACTTTGGCTGAAAATTATAAACTTTGACGGAAGTAGATTACTTTCCTTAAATAAGTAATTGAAAGCAAAATAGTTGTTTCTGCAGTACAAAATTTAATGTTGGATGCTTCTGAAAATGGGAATTGTATAGACTTTATTCGCACATGTCACCCCACTTGTTGGAGTCAGTTGGTTCACTTTTATGTTTTTAAGCCTTAAGAGTCTGAACTGTAAGTGGTAGCTTTCATCAGTAGGCTTCCATATGGGTTCATGGGGTGCAGAGTGGGAATCTGTACACTGACTTATTTCTGAAGATTTAAGTTAAATGAGTCCCTTGGTAGAAAGTTACTGTAGGAGATAGTCTCTACATAAGGCACATGTTAGATGGAAGCATGTTGTCTTGGCACAGTGACGAATTCATGGCTCATCAGTGAATAACACAATGCTTGCCAGCATCACTTAAAGCTCCCAGGACTTTGCATGGATGGGTATCAGTGTTCATTGAGATGACTAGCTAACTGGTGGCTTTCTTGCTCTGATCTGTTTTAAACCAGGCCTTGTTTTACACTGTGGAGTCCAGTTGTAGTCTGTCTTTCCTGAATTTCTTTTTCTGACATGAGGAAAAGACAAACCAAACTGTTCTGCATGAGTTCTGTTTAAGTATGTGTTCATTAATTATTAATTTGGTATAGAAGGAATGTCTTTCAATCCAGTCTAGCTCATGTATGTGTATATATACATGCGTATGTATGTAGGCATTTAGTATTGTGCTGGTTTTGTATGTCAAACTTGTATCAAGAATAATACAAATAAATTTGTTAAATTGTCCCACTAGATATACTTTATGTAGGATATCAATTTGGTAAAATGCAGGGCTGCGTGATAGAAAGCAGGTACTCTATCCACAAATCCATTTAATTTTGAAATGGATTTAAACACTTCAACCCTGTAGGCACTTCTTACCCATTGCTCTCTTAAAAAAAAAAAATCAACCTGTCTCAAACATTTCCTGTGGATAATATTTGGTCTTGTACCAGTTATATCATGTGATATATTGAGTCTAAGATGCAGGAGGAATTTTATTACTTAGGAAATAGGAGTATACCTACTGGGAGTGCACAGTATTTTATCTCCAGGATGTAGATAACATTAAGTGTGGTATTTTCACATGTGAAAACATCAATGTTGTGTCAATTTTTAATTATTCTACTGTATTTAGCCAGAATTCCTAAGGAAATGAGGCTGTTGGCTTATCATTACTTTCCTGCCTTTCTGGCAATCTTGCCATCACCTTTCTCCCACTGCCACAACAATTTTTATATCCATTAGCCAATTCCAGCTGAATTGGGGGAACAGACAGCCTCAAAAGATACTGGTTTCTTGCAAAATCTGTGGATGTGAGCAGCTGCAGGCAGTTTCTTGCTATAGCACCCCAAAATAATGAGAAGAAGGCGTCATCTCCTAGCTCTTATCTTGTAGTTGTAGTGCCCAGTACTTGAAAGAGTTAGTGAATGTTTATCTTGAATCTGTAACTCAATCTGTAGTACATATAACCTCTTACCTTTAGACTTTCATTAGGAAGCTAGGGAATGTGTGGAACTTAAGGTATATGAGGTGCTATCAGAGCTTAGATTTCATAGACCTATGTCCTAGTATTGTCTTGAAGTAAGAAGCTTACAAGACAGTGTATGGGTTCTATTTTATTTTTCTTAATTTTTAATTTTTTTGAAACTTGAGGAAATAATTCCCCTGTTCCTGTCCTTTTTCAGGAGAAGATGCCACATAAAGGGTAACAGGTGGAGTTTCCCCAGGTTTAATGCCAGGGTTAGTTTAAAACAAGAACATAGTGTCAGCTTGTCATTGCCTCTGAAAATACACTTTTGGTTTAATCCATTTTCTAATTCTGTTGTGAGTAAAGCAGAATGCAAGCTTGAAAATACTGCTCTTACTTAAAATTATTGTTGAAATAATAAATATATTGCTATTGTTTACATAGTGCTCAAAACCAATAGGTGTGGTTTGTTTTACACTGTGGCCAGATAATTCAGCAAAAACTTTTAGTTATATTCTGCTACAACCATCACCCTGTCTATAGGGCAGTAGAATTACCTGTCTTAGTTTACACTACTGTGGTATTCGATTTACTAAATTTAATGAAATGCTGAGCAGTTTTGCTGTGATATTCCCCCCTCTCTCCCTCCCATTCTTCTTAGTAAATACTTGAGCAGTTGAGGCAGAACGCAGCTTTGGATAGTTGAAACCTCTTACCTAGAAGATGATCAGGTGGGTATGTATGTGTGTGTGTGTCTAACCAAACTGGGAAAACAACTGAGCTTCGTGAAAGGAAAATACACCTGTGAAGAGAACTTAAAATTGTTTCAACAATTCTATCTTGTGTGTTTTTTTTAAGCTCCTTATGCTAGTGTGTTTATTACTTGTGAAATTAAACATGAACACCAAAATTATACAGAAACACAATTCTATTGTCAGTCTTCCTTATGATGT